GATACAGTAATAAATTAAAAGAAAAACTCTACTAGAGTAGACTTGTTCGCTTCGTCTAAGTAGGTGAACAGCCTGACAAGCCCATCCTCTACGGAGCTAAAGGAAGAAACTTCAGCCACAACTTTTTTTTTTTTTTTTTTTACGGAGCTAAAGGAAGAAACTTCAGCCACAACTTTTTTTTTTTTTTTTTTTTGGGGGGGCGGCGGGGGTTGGGGAGGCATCTCCAGAGTTCTCACTGAATTATTAAAGTAGCTAATTTCATCTTTCAACTTAACCTGGCTATAGTGCGCATGATTCACATTTACTCAGTAAATGTTTGATGAATGAATGAATAAAGGGATGAATGAATCAAAAGTAGCTAAAGGTTATATTTGCTTATTTAAATGTGGAGCCTTACATGTAGTCAAATTTTATGCCTGAAGGGCAGAAATCCAAAGTTCTACAAATGCTCATGTAACTTCATAATCTCCATGGAAAATATCATTATGGAAGTATCCTTTGCCTTCATACTGGAGGTGGGGAGGTACACAGCAGGATGATAAATGATGTTTCCTATATTGGACACCACGCATCCCTACCACCCTAGTCAGGGATAGTTTGCTATTTGCATGAATTTTTGGTCTGCATCTTGGTCTAGTCTCCTACTTCAGGCAGATAAGGCACCACAATCAAAGTCACAGAACATCCTTTTCTGGTGTGTCAAGAATTTGGAAATCATGAGAGAGCATCTGACCTTAAAAAAACATCTGGATTGATTTTTAAGACATTTCCACACCCAACCCTTTATCTGTAGAGTTAATTGAGGTAATTACCACCAGGTTATAATCCATCTAATTCCATCTCTTTAAAGCTGCACTCAATTCACACCTAAGGAGCCCTGGTGCTTAGTGGGTTAAGTGTTGGACCATTTCATTCAAGGTCAATAGTCAATGAGATTTAGACAATGTATTATTGATAGAACTTGTCTGCAACCATACACTAATTACAGAGACATGTTTAAGCACATTTTGTTTAGAAGAAACCTGTCCATGTATGAAGTGAAACCCTAGTAGCAGTATTTTTGTCTTATTAAATAAGTCAATACTTTGACTTACTTTTTTAGTTATATGTGCTATAATCAAGAGACCTTTAATATATTTTATTAAGTGGCACAGTAAAGTGGAAGAACCATGTATACACCTTTATCCATTAAGTTATAATACATGAACCTTGAAAACATGCTGAGTGAAATGGCACTCAAAAAAAGGACAAATATTATATGATTTCACTTAGATGAAATATATTTAATTAGGCAAGTATATTGTTGTTGCTAAGTGCCTTCGAGTCGGTTCCGACTCATAGCGACCCTGTACAGGGTTTCCGAGGCTGTAAATCTTTACAGGAGCAGAACGCCTCATCTTTCTCCCGCGGAACGGCTGGTAGTTTCGAACTGCTGGCCTTAAGGTTTGCAGCCCAATTCGTAACCACTACGCAACCAGAGCTCCTTAGACAAGTATATAGTGAGCAGTTTATTAGTGGTTACCAGGAGGGGAAAGAAGACTCATTGCTTAGGGGACGTTGAGCTTGTATTAATGATGATAGAAAATTTTGGAACTGGATAATAGTGATGAACATAATTATCACTGAACTGTACATGTAAAAAATGTTAAAATGGAAAATAGTTTGTAACGTATGCATTTACCACACACATGTACACACAGCCTAGAAACATCCTTTAAATAAAACACATCAGACTTTTAGTAGGGGAATGTATTTTGGAAGAGCATCTGTGAAAAGGAGAATGGTAATTTATATATATAGTTAAAAATGTTGGGAGGTGGCAGTAAGTTGTAGACACTAGTTCAGGAGAAAGCTGAGGCTTTCTGCTCCTGCAAAGATTTACAGTCTTGGGAACCCTATACAGGGTTGCTGTGAGTCAGCCCAACTCAAGGGCACTTAACAACACTATACACTAGTAGCTTGTTGTTGTTAGTTGCTGTGGAGCCTGCTCTGACTCATGGGAACCTTATACATAACAGAATAAAACATTGCCCCATCTTTGACCTAGGTATTTATATGAGAGGTCTTCAAAAATTCATGGAAAAATGAAATTGAAAGATAATGAAATGTTTCTATGAACTTTTTGAAGACCCCTTGTATTAAGCTTAACCAGAGAGAGAGTTGTTTTGTTAAGTGCTGTCAATTAGGTTCAACAAGAGAGAGTTGTTACACATTAATCATATAAAGTAGTTCCTAATTGATGCAACACAGAAAACCTGAAATCAGAATTTTTTTTTAACACAACAAACATTTTATTTTTGTGCACATAAAATATGATGCAAGAGTTGCTATCAGGTGACCCAAGGATTCAGACTGGTTCCATCAGGCGATTCTGTCACCTAAACACCTTGGCCGCTGAATGGAAGAGAAAACACACTGGTGGCATACTGGGTGTCTAATATCCTGACCTGTAAGTGGCAAATAATAATTCTGTTCATATTTCAGTAGCAAATGGCTAGTCCCATTTTCACCTTTTTATAGGCCTGCACATAGTACTGTGGACTCAGTGCCCATTTTATCCCTTGAGAAACAGTGCAGAGAAATTAAAAGAAAAAGTTAAGAGACAGAAGATTGACTTCGGACTGGGAGGAGTGGAACAGTGTGCTCTAGACAAATTCAGACCAAGGGTCTAGTGTCTGTTCTGTCAGAAATTCTCATGGACTCCAGACTTCTGGAGCCACGGAAGTTGGATGATTCCCGGCAACTACTGCCCTGAGATATAATCTTTAAATCTTAAACCAAAAATAACCCTTTGAAATCTTCTTAAAATCAAATAATAGTTTAGCTAAACTAGTAAAAATTTGTCTGCCTTGGCCATTATGGTCTTTTAAGATCAATATATGGAATCAAATTGACAACATGAAAAATTAGATGTGAATGGTGAGTTTGTTACTGGGAAAGGAACAACTCAGAAAAGAAAGGTGAGATTAGTTGCACAACTCAAAGATTGTAATCAGTATCACCGAATTGTACATGTAGAAACTATTGAATTGGCGTGTATTTTGCTGTATATATTCTCAACAACACAAAACGCTACCCTGTTAACTCACATTTCCCATCTCTTGTTTCTTCATCTTTGAAGTGGGTTAGATAAGTCCACTCTAGTAGGAGTGTTAGAATTTGTGTTGTTAAAGGCAACAACAACAACAAAACTGGTATGTGCTGGTCTTAGGTCTTTAATGAATGGGAGTTATTGTTGAGATTATGTCTTCCCTAAATTCTACCACTTTTCTCTGCTTTGTTTTGTTTTGCTCTAATAAAGGACCTTGCAGAAAAAATGACATGCCTTAGGAGACAGAATAGCAAATAAAATGAAAAATACTGCTTATGAAGTAAAACCTAAGGAATTATTTTCCCCTCAGAAGGGATATACTTTAACTTGCATGTAAAGATGTCTTCCCCAGCGACATACAACTTAAAGGCCTAGGATTTGTGTCAAGAACAGACTTCTTCCCTCCTTTCTATCCTAGTCACCAGTGTTTCCATTCATTTCACCTTCACTTAAACTTTCTTTACATGTTACCAAATTACACTAAAGGTGACTTAATCAAAATACCCCTTGAATGTAGTGGGGTCTGGCTTTCAGCCTCACCCAAATAGTTTCAGCTGTGTTATATTGGTGTGGCACTTGAAGTTAAGCACTAGACTGCTAACCACACAGTTGGTGGTTCAAACCTCCAGCTACTCCTTGGAAACTCTATAAAGGGTCACAATGAGTCAGAACTACGACGACGTGTTCTGGGAATCTCAGCTCAAAGGAGCATTGCTCTTAGTTCTCAGAAATTTTTAGGAAATGATGTGTATGCTAGTCTAGAAAGATGACATTAGATAATGTCTAGTTAGTGCAGTGTGTTCAGTTTCACTGAATCAAGCATGCAGGGAACCATCTATTCCTGCTTTCAGTCAGAATACCAAAGTAACTGATAGGATTTTTTTTTTCTTTTTTCTTTTTTCATTCCACACTTTTTTTCTCTCAACTGTGAGACACAATATCTGAGAGTCTGGTCCTGATCACCACTCCACAACACCTAGCTTTACTGGAGATTAACTAACACTGAAGGACTAGAAATGTCCTTAAATTCTAAGCTGCCTTACCTCAGAGCATTTATATATGATATTCCCGACTAAAACCTTTCCTCCTCACCACTCCACTAATCACCTACACACTTCTTTCTGTGCTTTATTTCTTGGATTATACTTGGCATTTGAGTCCTGGAGTAGTAATGTGGGATAAAGCATTGGACCGCAAGTTTTGAACCACAAGGTTGGCAGTTCAAACTCACCAGCCGCTCCTTGGAAACCGTATACAGGGTTGTTATGAGTCGGAACTGACTCAATGGCTCTTAACAACAAATCCCTTCCATTGCTCTTATATGATGCTGTTCCTGTACTCTAGTATTACATGGACAGATCCTGGGTTGTGGTTATTCTAGTAGCCCCAGGACTGGTGTGGTGCCTTTCAAGGGGCTCATCTAATGTTTTGAAAATTAATGAGTCAGTGAGTAAGAGATCTAATTTATTAAAGTTAAAATTTGTCTTACATTCTTGAATAAGCTAAACAGAGTCTTTATTAATTTTTCAGAACAAAATATTAATAAGTGAAAAAAGATTACATTTTTTCTCTATTTCTTTATATGAGCATTTATAAAGATAAGGTGTTCACATTTCTGAGAAATTAGCTATCCAAATGCTTTATAAAATAGCAAAGCTCTTAACCAAAACATACTAAACAGCAATAAATGTGTGAACAAAATCATGCACTTAAATTCTAAAGCTACTTAAGTGTTACACTAAAAGGAGCATTTGAATAATGATCCTGTAAAAAGAGAAATCTCCAAGTTACCAATACACAATAGAAAATAATGCTATGTATATGCACTTTATTCATTCCAATCCCACCCTCCATTACACTTAGAAAGCCTGTTGTCAAAAGCAAAGCGAAGAACCAGCCTCAGACCTCACTATGGGTGGGAGCAGCTGCTGGAGGTGGCACTGGAATTCTCCACAGCCATGTTGGTAGACTCAGGGCTGGCCTCAGCTTTGGCTTGGGCTCTTTCTTCTTCTTCTTTCAAAGCCTCATCATACTGAACTGGGAGAGAACGTGGGTCTCGCCCATGGACTCTTGACAGAAATTCTAGGAGCTTCATCTTGCTGACTTCAGCGTTGGCTCTTGGACCCCAAACAAATTCATAACACGCAGGGTCACTGCCAGGCAGCTGCCGGTACTCCACATACTTTTCCTTCACCAGCTCATTGGTGATTAAATTCTTGGGTTCCCCAAAAATGAAGTGCTTCTGCCCAGCATGGATACCCATCATATTCAGCACTTGCCAGACTTCTTCCTCAGTGGCGCGGTTGCCTTTCATGAAGATCACACCCAAGAGGAGAATCAGAATGCCGGTCTTGGGCATGCCTTCGGTTTCACTCAGCATTCCATCATAGGTGATGTTTAGTTTAATCAGGAGAGCATAACAATTGTTGATAGGGTCTACTTCCGTCACATCAAGGCCAAATACTATCTCCATGCGCTCACAAGTTTTCAGGAGTATCTCAGAGAAGTAATCTTCGTACTCTTGGATGACAGCATTCAGCATATCTGCTTTTGTGATTGGCTCTTTCTTTTGATACTTGAGCAGCAGAAAATTCACCAATATAGCCACCTTCTCATCTATAGGATTCTTGAGCAAGTTGTCACTGCCTGGTAGAGACTGCAAGTTGCTTGCCTTATCTTCGTCTTCTTGATTGCTGGCGTCTTCATCAGATCTCTCTGTTGTAATCATGAGAGTAGGGGAAGAGGCATATTCATTCAGAGCATCCTCTTCATAGATGGGGTTTGGAGAATAAGAGGAGGAAGATGACGTCTCCTCCACAATATCATCAAAGAACATATCATCCAGACCCTCAGCCTCACTGAAGATATGAAGGTTTTCTTCAGGAGGAATGCGGGGGCTCTCCTTTTCGGCAGGCATGATGACTTGTATGGGTGGTGTCAGGAGAGAGGGAAAAGCAAGCCCACAGCCTAAAGGAAAGAGGGAAGATGTGGACCAACTTAGTTTTAAACTCCTAGCCAGACAGCCCTGCCAATTGCTGTGCAGGAGCAGGGCAGAACTCTTGATGTCATCACTGTTCTGGAGTTGGAGGCCTCTTAACCATTCAGTGTCTATCTTGTTGCTCAGCAGGGCCTGAGACTCCACTTTAAACTGATGTGATCCACATCCCCAGACTAAGGTCACCATCTCCCACATACTCCTAAGGCAGAATACAGAGGACACTATTTCTGGCCTTCCCCTGGCCTCCCCCTTTCAGGGATGAGAGCAAGGTTGGGGTTCTAATGTCATATCCCTTCTATTTTGAAGTAGGTGGCCCTATCAGTCCTCACTCAAGATCCTCACCTGGACTCCTGCAGAGGATGGGAGTCTACCCTCTGTTAGCCTGAGGCTTATGTCCTCAAACCAAGGTCATTACTTCCCTCAGACACATGCTTTGGAAGTGACAAGTTACACCAGTCTGATAAGTCTACCCAGGACATGTTGGAATGATGGCAAAAGCAGGGCTCTAAAGGAGCTCTGGTAGCTTAGTGATTACAAATCAGGCTGCTAACCTCAGGGTCATCAGTTTGAAACTACCAGCTGTTCCGCAGGAGAAAGGTGAGGCTTTCTGCTCCCGTAAAGATTTACATCCTCGGAAACCCTGTACAGGGTTGCTATGAGTCCGAACCGACTCCACGGCACATAACAACAACAACAACTCTATGTGGCCCATTCTGTGTTGAGTCGCAAGGTACCAACTCTGTATTTCCTTTACTACTGGCTGTTCTGGAGTCCTGGTGTGGCACTGTAGGATAAGCACTGGATTGCTAACTGCAGTGTCGGTGGTTCAAGCCCACCAGCTGCTCCTCTGAAACCCTATACAGGGTTGCTATGAATCTGAACCGACTCAACATCACTTAACAACAACAACTGGCAGTTCCTAATAACTTCTCCTGACTTGAAGTTGCTGTTAAGTGCCATAAAGTCTGTTCTGACTTATAGTGACCCTGTACAGGGTTTCTGAGGAAGTAAATCTTCATGTGAGCAGAAAGCCTCATTTTTCTCCTGCAGAGTGGCTGGTAGGTTCAAACGACCAGCCTTGTGATTAGCACTCTAGTGCTTATCCTACAGCGCCACCATGCTCTCCACTCACAATGAGATTACCCACTCATTATAAAGCCTCCACTCACTAACTGTAATTATGGTGGAATAGTGAGGGGCATGTCATCTGCTCCCCCCCCCCCTGCTCAACATCTCCTTGGGGTCCAACTGGCCCATGAGACTATAATTGTCTGGAGGCACAATCCCCTCATTCTTAATGCTAAATTACTTACCTTGACTATTGGCACAAACTGGGATGACTTCTGACTTGACGTTGCCTACTCACACCAAAGTCTTCATCAACCTGAAACTGTCAAGAAAACGTTTTGAGAGGAGAGTAGAACAGTGACTTCCACGGTTCCACTATGGTTAGCCCCACAGTCCTAACTCAGGGTCTTGACTTGGGACTCCTCCCTCTGCTGTCCTGATGGTGCACACTCACAATAAAAGTCTCAATCGACTCTAAGGACAGAGAAGAAGGGAAGGGGCATCTATTCTTCTACTCCAGAGTGTTGGGCTCCCAGTGATTTTGGATGGGTGACCCCTCAGAATTAACGCACTGTTCTCACCAGCCCCCAAGATGTGGTTTGTAGTCATCCTTCTACTACCTGGTGCCACTTACTCAGAGAAAAGCCTTCACTTCCCTAAGACCGCAAGAAGACGTCATCTCAGTTTAAAATCCTATTTTACAGAATCGCAGAGCTAATCACCGGGAAGAGCCAGGCTCTTCGTGAGCTCCACTATCTTAGGGTCGGTGGTCCTTGCAGACCTCAATCTGGAGCCTTATTGGGCTCCCCATTCTGGTGGCCTGGCAGGAATCTCCTCAAACCTGAGCTATCACCTTTCTCAGAAACGACTCCACTGGGCAGAGCCTGGCTGGCTGTGTGCCGTGGAGTCGGAACTGACCCATAGTGACCCTGTACAGGGTCTCCGAGGCTGGAAATCTTTACGGGAGCAGAACGCCTCCTCTTTCACCTGCGGAGCAGCTGGTAGTTTCGAACTGCTGACCTTCTAGTCCGCAGACCAATTCGTAACGACTAATGCTACCAGAGCTCCTTGGGCAGAGCCTGTTGTTGTTAAGTGCCGTCGAGTCGGTTCCAACCCATAGCGACCCTGTACAGGGTTTACGAGGCTGTAAATCTTAATGGGAGCAGAAAGCCTCCTCTTTCTCCCGCGGAGCAACTGGTAGTTTCGAACTGCTGACCTTGCGGTTCGCAGCCTGATTTGTAACCACTGCGCTACCAGAGCTCCTAGTAGGGTCGAAAACGGAAGCACCACAGGAATTTGTGGCTCTTAGTCGTTTCTGGGGCTGCTGGACTCGTTAACCCCACTCGGCGTCGTCCCAACGCCCAGCAGAGACCACCTCCTCAATCCTCACTCTGAGGTCCCCCCTGGGCTTCCCCGCCCCCTTCTGTACCCTGAAGGCCAAGGTCTGTCAAGGTGGAAATCCGGAGAAGCGGTTCTGCCAGGCGGCCTCTGGGCTGAGTAACCGCAGACCTGCGCTGCCCGGGGGTAGGCGGCGCCCTCAGATTCCTTCCCAAGTCTGTACTTAGCAGCAGGGCCTCAAAAGACGCCCTCGTTATTTACTGAGCTCCGTAGCCTCCGTCCAAGGCCCTTGCTTCTGAAGCCACTAGGCCCAACTCCTGACTACAACAGTTTCCAGAGCAACAGCACCGTGGGGCAGGGATTTTAACTGGGGGTTCCTCCCTCTGTTCTGCAGTGGGTTGTTCCCTCAGCCCCCACTCTATGACTTACCGTGAGACCCGCCAGTATCTGGTAAGAAGGACTTTCTGTGGACCAAACGCGTTGCCAACGGTTCGTATGTCAAAGACTTCTCCAGCGGAAGTCGGGGGAAATGCCTTCGGTCCTCCCACGCAAAGACCTCTGGGGTTTTCCAGGGCTGTTGGCAGGGGCGGGCATCCTCCATTTTTAACTTGGGAACGAAAAGCAAACGCCTAGCAATCTTTACATTTTAACTTTGTAGTTTAAGAACAGTTATTGTAGTCATAGAAAGCAGAAGAAATTAAAGCATCAAAGATAAGAAAACTAGAAACAAAGTTTCCACAGTTAACACATGATTAGACAGGACGTGAGGAAAACTGGGATCAACAAACCTTTTTGCTCAAAAGTGCGTTGGGCATAAGATAAATGTTTAAAAGTGTGCTTTGTTTTTGTCAGCAACAAACATGACAATTAAGCAAACTGTATCTTGCAAACTGCCATACAATATTTCAAACACTGCAGAATAATCTAACCCCATATTGTAAGAAATCTATGAAAAAATGATAAAAGTACAATTTTTAGATAAATCATAAAAGACTATAAATAGATTCAATGTTTTACATTAGTTACTTCTCTGCAAATTTGGTCTTCAGAGTTACGGTACTTCTAGTTTAAAACCCAGTAGACTTCTGTGACTATGTGTATACATTAAGTGTATGTAAAATTAGAAAAACTGGTTCTTAAAACTTAAATGGAAATGCAAGAGGCATACAGTTAAGACACTCTCAAGAAAAAAGATGAAAGTACTTATTAGATCATATGTTGTTGTTATGTACCATGGAGTCGATTCAGACTCTTAGCTACCCTATAAGTATAGGATTTCCCAGGAGCAGCTGGTGGGTTTGAACCACTATTAATAACACAAAATTTTATTAATTAAATTCTGTGGTGTAAGTTAAGGGTTTGAAAGACCAGTGAAACTATAGATAGTCCAGAAATAAACAGAGTCCTTAATATTTGGAAAAGGTACCACTGAATGGGAAATGGAAAGTTGTCCCACTAAATTAGAGTGCTTGAATGGAATATTTATATGGGAAACAAACACAGCTGGAAACCTCTCTCTCACACTGTTTTTGTTGTTATTAAGTGCTTTCAAGTTGGTTCTAACTTCTAGAGACACTGTATTGGGTTTCTGATGAACAGCTAGTGGGTTTGAGCCATCAACCTTGCACTGTACACAAAAATAAATTCCAGGCGGTTCTAACTTCTAGAGACACTGTATTGGGTTTCTGATGAGCAGCTAGTGGGTTTGAACCATCAACCTTGCAAACCATCAACACAAAAAATAAATTCCTTGTACTGTACACAAAAATTAAATAACTAATGCTTAAATTATTATTATGAAAAATTTCAAGAGAACCTAAAAGTAGAGTCTGACAATAGGGACTAAGATAATCTACTCCTTTAAAAGTCAGCAGCATGGATTATTATGGTATCAATAAAATTGAAGATAAAAAAATGAAATATGAACTGGAGAGAAGGAGAAGAAATTGTGGCTTCTTATGAAAAATATCAACCTTGCAACTTTCATGAGCCTTTTAAATAATATGTAGGATCTTGGACTTGGCAGTGTATTGAAAGAAAAGTATCTTATTCAGTTATCTGTTAATTCCAATTCTCACTGTAGCAGACAAGTTTCTGATCTCTGGAGCACAGGATTTCTAAGAAGTATAACCTGGACTTCTAACTACAAGGCTGGTGATTCAAACCCACCAGCTGCTCCTCAGAAATCCTATATCGGGTTGCTGCAGGTTGGGACCAACTTTATCACACTTAACAACAATATAACCTGGATTATACTACTCCAGAAAAGTTAATGATCTAGCACCAGCTAGAAGACCTAGTATGATGATGTAGGATAAGCAGTAGACTGTGAACCACAAGGTGAGCAACTCAAATCCGCCAGGTACTCCTCAGAAATCCTATATAGAGTCACTATGAATCAGAACCAATTCCAAAGCACTTAACAACACCACCTAATCCATTGGCCTAGAAGAATCTTCCTCCCAGGTATCTAACTCCCTCCTACCTTCAATTCTCTGCTCTGACTTCATCTCTTAAGGGACGCTCTCCTTCCCATCCTGTACCATAGTGGGGCCGACTCTGACTACCTGACACTTCCCATGACCTTATCTTGCTCGTTTTCTTTTATCCACAGCCTCTATCACTTACTACTAAAAGAAAACTTGCCTGTTACTATGTTTACTGTTTGTTGTCTGTCACCCTGCTAGACTGTAAGTTTCACAAGCTAAATATTATGCTGTTATTACTTATGTAACCCTTTCACCTAAAACATTGTCTGGAACACAGTAAACCTGTTACTGTACAGTCGATTTGGACTTATAACAGCCCTATAGCATAGAGCTCAACTGTCCCATAGAATTTCCAAGTTTTCCACCAGTTGCTCCTCAGAAACCCTCTAAAGGATTGCTATGAGTTGGACCTGACTCAATGGTACTTAACCACAACATTCTTTACAGAAAGGAGCCCTGTTGACGTAGTGGGTTATGTGTTGGCTTGCCAGCCATAAGCTATTCAGGAGAAAGCTGAAGTTTTCTGCTTCTATAAATATTTATAGCCCCAGAAACCCTATACAGGGTCATTATGAGTTGGAACTGACTCCATGGCACAAAACCAGCCCATGTTTATGGAAGCAGATTACGACATTTTTTTCCCCTGCAGATCATTCCCTGAGTTTAAATTATCAGTCAGCTTTATGGTTAGTAGCTGAACACTCAATCACTCTGACACCAGGATTCCTTTAGGATATTGTTTCTGTTAAGCGTTGTTGAGTCATTTCCAACTCATAGCAACCCTGTATAGGGTTTCCAAGGAGCAGCTGACCACTGGGATATAGTACACAATTAAGTATTTGTTGAATAGATGAATGAATGAATACCTCTGGGTCTTTATGTAGCATATCAGATTGCTTTTTGAAAGTACTGCTAGACTAAAGAGGTGTGAAACTTCGCTTTGATTGTACAAGACCACCCTTGACTTGGGACTGTGATGCTGTGGGCTAATGCAATAGACTGCAAGGTCACTTTGAACTACAAGGTCAATGGTTCAAGTTCACCAGCTACTCTTTTTTTTTCACTGTTTTATTGTGGATTATGTGATAGTTTACATGGAAGAACATTAGTTTTACATTACATTTACATTGCCATGGTTACAATCCCCTCCATGCATCATCAACCAACCAAAGGGTACACCCCGCAAGCTTGTCCCCTGGTCGTTAGCACACAGCCCCTCTCCCTTTCTGGGTCTAGAGTTCCCAGCTGCTCCATCTCTCCACATCATCATCTCTGCCTCCATCTCTGGCATCACTGTTTCTCAGGGTAGGGTTCCGCACTCTGCTCTTCTCCCTTGATGGTCCCAGGGACCTCCGTTCCTGGACTGCAAAGTCAACCACTTCCTTCCTTTTGCTACAAAACATCTACCTTTTCATTTCCAACCCTCACAGTCAGTCTTGATAATAATTATTCACTATTGTACCACATGAGTGCTATCCACATCTCCTGTCATTAGTCCTGCCCACACAGATTGTATACTACTCAGTGGAGATTCTACCTTCCTCCACACCCTCTAGATCAAAGCTCCCTCTTGAAAACTTATAAGCCAGTCCCTTCTTGCCTTTGTATCCCCCTCCCCCCCATTTTGGGTAGCCAATGTCCAAGTTGCCCATCCCTGTCTACTCTGTGTATTGAGGGGATGGGAACGGTCCTTGCTGTAAAGATTTGCTCCCTCTTTTGAGCTACTGCATCCATAGATGTAGGTCAAGTTCATCAAATTGTATCAGATTACTCTTTTTCTCCTCTTCTTTCTTCTTCTAGTTGAGCTCTGATCATCCAGCCATTGAGACCAGGTCAAGTGGGCATCATCTGCAAG